AAAAAAAAAAAAAAGAAAAATGAAAGGGGAGGCCCCGGTGCTGAAATGTCAGTGTGCATGTATCGCGATTCATTGATAAAACATAATAATAAATTATAATAATGTAATAGAAATAATAATAGTAAGAATAGTAATAATAACTTGAGAGATGATGACTTGACTGCGTGTGCTATATATATATATCTTATTTATCGTAAAATAATATATTTTTTTTTTTCGATTTGTTTTTGTCTGTTTTGTATATATAAATATAAATCATGTATCTATATCTATATATATGCTGGGCCGCTCACGATGATGGTGTGGTGTCCGCTCTTGGATATAATGTAAACGTATGGGATGTTGATGAGACGCTCGTTACAGATCACCGTCGGGCATGAGGTCGAATCTCGGCGGGAACGATGAGCCGTCGAACTGTGGTTTATTGAAAGCTGGTCGGTGTGGCTATAAATTTTCGAGAATTGACAAACAAAAATCAGCTTAGTTATTGATTACTTCATTTAATGGAGTGGATTTTCAAGTGCACGGAAAGGACCACTGAATTTTTTAATATATAGCAATAATATGATTTTTTTCAAATTAATTTCAATACAGGCACTGTGGGTAATAATATACCGATTAATGTTTCACAAACTATATAATAAATAACTTTTGTCATAATAATTTCACTAGTGAAATTCAGTAGTGTTTTCTGCGCGACTTTTGTTTTTGTGTATGTATATTTTTCTTAAATATTAGTTGTACACTGAGGTTTATATATTTAAATATTGGATTTGAAACATGAACTTTTGATCTTAAGAAATATGTTTTGTTACAAAGTTATGGGGATCATTATAAACAGACAGTATGAGGGGTTTCTTTTGTTCTTTTTCAAAGTACTTATGCTCAAAATGAAATGGCACTTTTTTTTTTTTTTCGGGGTACATTTAAGCACTACAAAACTCGTTTTGGTTAACACTCGGTAAAAATCACCCATTATACACTTGTTTTTGTATACATTTCATGTAGAGAATACGGACTCAGATGTATTCCCAAAAAGATGTTTGTGACAACTAAGTGCTTTTTCCATGGATCGAAAAATGAGATGAAGAAACAAGGGTCTGTCGGTATGAGTGTACCTTCAATGATAGAAACTGTAACCCTAGCCATGAGAACTGTATGTAACAATCAATTAAAACGATAAACACGTACGGGGTGGATGGAACACAAAAACTTTGGATACAAGTGAATACACGGAGTAATAATTACATGAGGCAACATATACAATTATGTAAACAAGTGCTGTAACCATTTTTCTCACCATGTGGAAATTAGGAGTATGTACGATAAACCGATATTCGCGGTTCTCGGGGTGATGTACATTTTGCGAAATCATAATGTTACATTCCAATTGGTAAGTCATATCTATAATTATATCAGAATTCGCAAAATATTCGGTGACGATTAATGAAAAAAAAAAAAAAAAAAAAACGTGGTCAATGAAAAAAGATATATAATACGGAAGTATCAAATACTACATGTAGACACGTGCGCAGATTACACGGTTGAGTTGAAATTGTTGATAAACACATAAATACGTTATTTTTTGCACTTTGCGTTGTAATGATACTAAAATCACACGGTGACACATATTGTATGTATACGTATAAAAACGTCCCCCTCGATGGCCTCATCCATTTTTGTTGGGCGTAACATAATTTTAGTTTATTGTTGCTCTCAAAAGACAGAACGTGCTGGTTTGTTTGTATACTTTTTTTTTTTTTTTTAATTTGTTCACCACTTTTTTGGGACAACGTCAGACTTACATGTACCGGCGCGGCGGTTTATTCGTGCGCGGGTGCCTTGCGCTGCGCTTGGCCTTTCTGTCCAGCGGGCTATAGTATGGATCGAGAGACACAATAAAGAGCGAATGAATGACACATGTGACGGAATTTTTGCTTTTTAGTGCTATCGTTTAAGTATCAATTTTTTCAGCTTAAACTAAGCTATACGCGTACGTATTTTACCGTCCAATTTCCATACTGTAAAACCTCCGTAGGAATTCCTGCCTGATCTCGTGAAAAACTTTCATCGGTAAAAAACAGCACGATGACCTCGTAATTTTCCGACACTTAATTCATCCCATTAAAATAAATAAATTTTTACGAATCACAAATGATAAAAAAAATATAACCATATAAATCTCTGAATCTTCCCAAGTCTCGGTTTCACCGATGCCACGAACAAAAGATTAATCGCCAAAGATCACGGGAGTGAAATCACACGCTGGAATTCCCACGGAAAGTATCCGTAGTAAAAAAAAAAAAAAAAAAAAAAAAAAAATAACAATAGTTGGTACGGTAAAAGCGGTCGACTTACCGCCGGGCTGATGCCACGCGCGGCGCTGCCACCACGTCCCTTGGTGCGGAACTTGGCGATCGCCTGCTCGGCGAGATCCGCCCTCTCCTCGGCCTCCTCGAGCTCCTGCTGGGCCTTGCGGAACTTGGCCAGATTGAGGGCCGCGATCTCCTCGGCCTCCTCGATCTGGCGCTTGTACGTCTTGATCTTCTGCTGCAGCTTGTCAACCAGATCCTGCATGCGCTCGTGGTTCTTGCGGTCCTCGTCCGCCTGGAAGGCCAACTCCTTGATGCGGCGCTCGCTCTTGCGCAAGTTCTTCTGGGCGTCCGCGTGTCTCCTCTGCTCCCCGTCCAGCTCGTTCTCCAGCTCGCGCACCCGCTGCTCCAACTTCTGGATGGCCTTCTTGCCACCCTTGAGGGCGTTGGCCTCCGCCTCGTCCAGGCGCACCTGGAGCTCCTTGATCTGCGTCTCCAGGGCCTTGCGCAGCTTCTCCTGGGTCTGGGCGTGGTCCTGCTCGGCCCTGAGCTCGTCCGCCAGTCGCGCCGCGTCCACCATCGCCTTCTTGGCCTTCTCCTCGCTGTTTTTCGCCTCGTTGAGCAGCTCGTCCAGGTCCGAGTGCAGGGTCTGCAGCTCCGCCTCCAGCTTGCGCTTGGCCGCGCTGATGCTCGCGTTCTGGGCGCTCAGTTCGTTAAGCTGCTCGTGCGCGTCGGCCAACTCCTGCTCTGCCTGCCTACGGCCCCTGTCGGCCTGCTCTAGCAACTGGCGGCTCTCCTCGAGCTCGTTCTGGAGGGCGTTGGCTCGGCGCTCGCTTATGCCAAGGAGCTCCCGGGCCTCGTCGCGCGCCCTCTGCTCCTCCTCGAGGGCCGTCTGCACGTCCTTGAGCTGCTGCTGGTAGCGCTTGATGTTCTTCTGGGCCTCGGCGTTGGCCTTGTTCGCGTGGTCGAGGGCGATCTCGAGCTCGTTTATGTCCGCCTCGAGTTTCTTCTTCATGCGCAGGGCCTCGGCCTTGCCCTTCGCCTCGGCCTCCAGGCTCGCCTGCATCGAGTCGAGGGCGCGCTGGTGGTTCTTGCGCGTGTTCTCAAACTCCTCCTCCTTCTCCTGGATGCGCCGGTCTATCTCCTGGCGCACCTGGCTCAGCTCGAGCTGGCTGCGCAGGACCTTGTTCTCCTCCTGCTCGAGGGCCGCCTCGGCTTCCTCGAGGGCGGCCTGGAGCTCGTCCTTCTCGGCCTCGAGGCGCTTTCGGGCCTTCTCGATCTCGTGGATGTTGCGGCCGCCCTCGCCAATCTGGTCGAGGAGGTCCTTCACTTCGTCGGCGAGGTTCTTGTTCTCGCGGCGGACGGCCTCGAGTTGCTCCTGGCTCTCCTCGTACGCGCCCTTCAGCCGGAACAGCTCGGTGCTGTAGTTGCGGCACTCCTTCTGGCTGGCGTCGAGCTCGGCCGCCAAGTCGTCGACCTTGAGCTTCCACTCGCCGATGATCTTGTCGAAGGCCTTTTGCTTCTTCTCGGCGGCGTTGGCGATTGCGGTGGCCCGGTCTACCTCGAGCTGGAGGTCCTCGACCTCGGTGGCCAGCCGTTGCTTGGTCTTCTCGAGGGCTATGACCTTTTGGTTGAGGGACTCAATGGTCTCCTCGGCCTCGGCCAGCCGGGCCTGGAGTTTGCGCTTGGCCTCCTCGAGCTCCTCGGCCCGGGCGACGCCCTCGCTCTCGTACTTGGTGCGCCACAGCTGGGCCTCGGCGTTGGCTTTGCTCAGTTGCCGCTGGAGGTCGGCCTTGCCCTCGGCCTCCTCCTCCACCTGCTCGCGGATGTTGTCGAGGTCGTGCTCGAGGTTGCGGAACTTGCCGAGGAGGGTGGCGCGCTCGCGGCCCTCCTCGTCCGCTAGTCTCTTGGTGTCCTCGAGCTGCGTCGTCAGGGATATCTTGATCTTGGAGAGCTGGTTCACCTGGGACTCGGCCTCCTCGAGTTGCCGGAGGAGGTCGCTGTTTTCGATCGACAGCTTCTTCTTGGCGGCGTCAAAGTCGTTCACCGTTCGCGTCAGCTCCTCGATCTTGCCCTGGGCCTCGTTCAGCTGGTGCTGCAGCTGCTTGGCGATCTTCTCCTGGGCAGCCTATGGTTTTTTTTTTTTTTCCCCCCCCCAAACACACGATGCGTTTAGTTAATTGTTCACTCTGAGATTCAAAAATGGCAAACAAAAGCAAGCAGCACAAGCAAGATGCAAGGGAATCGGGGGTAAAGTTTGAAGGTGTTTCAGCTCCGTCCCCACAACATGGTCATCGGGCACAGCGATATCTGCGTTAATAGCGTTAGTACAGCTGAAATAGCGCGCAATAGAAGTTTGTCGTGTTGTCGTGTACCTTCTCATTGCTGAGATGGTCGACGGTGGCGCGAAGGTCGTTCAGTTCGCTGAAGTACTGAACCTTCTCCTTCTCGATCCTGCGGAACGTGGAAATTATAACATTTACGAGGACACGCGGAACATGCGTTGTTTGATCGCACCCCTGTCCACATCGAGGTACCGCAAGCTATTACTTTGTGGTTCAATGTACTTATAGGTAATTACACCTATCAATTTACAACTATGATAATTGTAGCTATGTTGTGTTTTTCAATGGTCAAGGTTGCGTTGTCTGTAACCATCATCACGAGCCGAAAAAGGGGAATTTCGCCGATTTTGATGTGGATCCAACGTTGAAAAGGGAAGGGGGTTTGGTTAACATGACAAACGAAACAAAAAAAAATCGTAAAAATATAAAAGATTAACACGAACGGGAAACAATGAGGGGAAATGGTGTATATTCTCGAAGAGTATATACATGGGGTTTTTGGGGCGAGGGAAAGGTGTTTGGGAACATTTGGCAAAACGTCTACCTTCTCTCTCGCGACTGCGTCAATGGAGGCACGGGAATTGTTCAGCTCGACGTGGATGTCGTTACGGCCTTTTTCGGCCCTATCAAAAACAACGTGTCATTTTAAAATAAAAAAAAATCAACTCCGATCGTTGACGTCCATCACCTGCCCATCGGTTCTCCCCAAAGCCCTCCGCCCCGGAAACCCATAGACTCACCTAGCCTTGATCTTGTTAAGCTGGTCGATCTGCTCGCCCATCTCGGCCACCGCGTCGTTGTGCTTCTTCCGCAAAATGGCCAGGGCCGACTCGTGCTGGATATTGGCCTCCTCGAGATCCCTGCGCAGCTTGCTCAGCTCGGCCTCGCGCTTCTTGTTGAGCTCGATCTGAGCCGAGGTGGCCCCGCCCGCCTCCTCGAGCCGCTCGCCCAACTCCTCGAGCTCGCGGGCCAGGTCGGACCGTTGTTTCTCGGCCTTGGCGCGAGCCTGCCTCTCGGCCTCGACCTCCTCCTCGAGCTCCTCGATGCGGGCCTGCAGCTCCTTGATCTGCTTCTGCTGCTTGCCCACCAGGGCCTGCTCGTCCTCGAGCTTGGCCGTCAGGGAGGCTAGCTCCTTGTCCTTGCGCTGGATCGTCTGCTCGAGCTCCTTTTTGTTCCTCTCGAGGTCGGCCACCGCCTCCTGGGTGAGCTTCAGGTCGCCCTCCACCTTCCTCTTGGTCTTCTCGACGTCGGCACTTTAAGCGCACGCACAGATACGTTATTTTGCAAGTTAGACAAAAAAAATACATATATATACATATGTATATACATATGTGTACAAACAAAGTCCCACTCGGGCCTACCGAGATTTCTTTTCGCGCTCGAGCGTGTCCTCGAGCTCGTCGAGAGTCTGCTCGAGCTTCTGCTTGACCTTGTTGAGGTGGTTGACCTTGTCCTCGGCCGCTTGGAGCTCCTCGGCCGTCTTCTGGTTGATCTCGCCCTGGTTCTTCTTCTCCTTGTTGAGCTTGTTGATGAGCTCATCCTGATGGGCTATCTCGTCGTTGAGGTTCCGGATCTGGTGGTCCTTGGTCGCCTTGTCCTGCTCGCTCTTCTGGATCGTCAGCTCTAGGTCCTCAAGGTCCTTCTTCAGACCGGATATCTCCTGGTCGAGCTTCTTCTTGGTTTGGAAAAGGGCGTTCCTGGCCTCCTCCTCTTGCTGGAATCTGTCGGTGATGTCCTGCGGGCCATTCACCACGCGTGCTTTATTTTGTTTTCCATATACGCATCATCGGCCACTTTCGAGCTCATGTCGGGCTCATTAGATCGCGACGGAGTGGTGTTAGTGTGTGTGTGTACGCAATTTCGGTCGCGGGTTTTCTTAATCGATGATTCATTGCTTGTGGGCCGTTTTTTCGCAACACTTGGCCATAGCCGATGGTCCCTCTCTACGCCTATACCAACTCTGATATTAAAAATAAATCGCTTTGACACCGTATCAAAAATTTTGGCCTACATCAGCTCTTGAGGATAAATCGCCCACAGAGAGTGCCACCATAACGTATATTTGTCCGTGTGTATACACTAAGGGAGAAACGTTACAAATTGTCAACGCCCGGCGACGCGTAAAACGCACGCGTCTCGCGTGAACGTATATTAATTAAAATCGGAAGCGGAAAGCAGGTATAAGTAGTCCGCTCACCTGCAGGTCTTTAAATAAACCTACCGAGTTGTAGGTACGAAAGCTCCAGTTTTCCCAACTATGCGAATACCGAGGGACCAAAAACCGCAAAACTTCTTGGCTGTCGCGAGGCAACGGCGGCGCATCATTAGCCGCGTAATTAATCGGCGTTCAGCTGCACAAAACCGCGCATATGTTATACCCACCGCGTGCTCGGTTTCCCGTTTTGGATCTAGCCGACAATATACCCATATAATTCTGAGCCACATACACGTATCTATAATTTATCCATCTCTCGCCGTACCACCTATTAGCCGATGGCTCCTTTGTACAAACTGCTCATTAGTTCGGAATTTATTTGATTGCCGTTAAAAGTTATATTATCGCAATAAACCCCAAAGCTGAGCCCCTGCCTTTTTCTTATTGTGGTAATGTTCAGAGGTGGCTATAATAATCGAGGCCTTTCAACGATCGCGCAGCTGCCCGAAAATTCGCGCCGGCCCGTTAATCAGAAAACGTTAGCTCCCCCTTCCTCTTTCCTAATATTAATGAGAACTCCACGCTGCATGCATATTATAGTATACAGGTACACTGTACATGTACACATAACACGTGTGATGTCAAGCTCGCCTGTATGTAAGTGATCTAATATTAGCTGCCCTGTCAAGTGAACAAAAAACAAAAAAACAAAAAAAAAAAAGCTGCGTGCTTGCGTAAGAGCCAAGAGTCAACGGAATGATAATGATGTATATATACACCCATCGCTTGTCCAACGCTCAATCACCAAAGCTCGTCCGTATACTTACGTATAGTGACGCATGTGACGTCTCCATCGAGACGGACACGGACGGGCTGGAGATTCTTTTTTTTTTTCTCGTCAATGCGGAACCTCTATTTTTTCCATCTTTCCTCCTATGATCGAAGTTATCGCAAAAGGGCTACCCGTACTTAAAATGCGCGTCTTTATTACTATACCTAATTGTTACGCCTCTCTGCTCGTGAAGATCGCCTCGTTTTCTATTAATACATAATATTCCCTGCACCTGTTCTCGTTACCTTCCGGTGTGCAGTGAAATTATTCGCGTGCATTTTAAATTTAGAAGATCTGATGGTATCTTGACACCACGTACATCCCTATCGAGCAGGTTCGACTTTTGCAAGAGAGTCCCTTCTTTTTTTTTTTTTTTTTTTTTTTTTTTTTTTCAATCTTTGAGAAATCGAGCAGCACGTATGTATCACAGCACATACTCATCCGGATGCTGGAGCCTTTATTTTTTTCCACGAACGAGCGTGAAAAACAACACTCGGCGGTGGAGCTAATTTTAAAGCTCCACATGTGTTACGCGAGCACCAACTCTGCTGTAACCGTACATGAGCAGCTTTGCTTCTGTTGTGTATGTTTATACATATACACCCGTGTGTCATCCTTGCAGCTTCCCCCCCCCCTCCCACACCCCAAGCTCCTATACATCCGCGAATCCTCTTTGCCCTTTTCTTTCGAGACCGTCGTTATTTCTTTCGGTGCTCGCCACCTTCCCCCCAACACAGCGATGCTGGAACGAGCGAGCAATTTTTAGAAAGACCGGAATTTCTGGAGCCGCGCTGAAATAGATGCGCGTGGGCGAGATTTATCCGGGCAAAAAAAAAACACGCTCGGTTGTACCGTACACCATAGTCTCCCGTCAAATTTTCTCGTTTAGAAATATAAATCATCAGGTGAACTTACACACTTACCGCGGACGCGCGCGTTGCCTTACCGGAGAATTACACGCGCGTCTGACGACAGGGCGACTCGTACTACTGAAAATTTATAAATGCGCGGAAAATCATTCGATGCGCGTGTATGTAATATATGAGTGTACATATTTTCCAAGCTCACGCGATTCGTACCGATGATTTATGAGATTGCTCGCGAAACTGGGGCAATCGTTAAACGAGATATTATTAACACGTTCCCGCTTTATGGCCGATTAATCATTCGCGGTTACCTGATTTCCCTCCAATAATAATAATTTAAAAAAAAATAATAAAAATAAAATAGATGATGGTAGTAGGCTTGTAGCATCTTTACAACCGTACCCGAGTGCGCGAATGGGCAAAAACGCCTCGGTTGAAAGGCAAACGCGCCCGTAATGAGCAATCGAGAGAGCTCTTAATATTTTTCTGACGCAACAACGGGACTGTTACCGCCTCCAAATGCTTTCGGCTTGGCCGGGTTTTTGGAAACCAACAATGAAACGCAAACTAGTTGGGTGTTTCAATAACACCCGCACTTTTTGCGCTTCTGTGTCAGTAATAGCCTTTTCGCCTGGAATCCTATACGTTTATTGTACACGCACAAGTCGGGCATTGGGAAACAAATGCGTTGACCATCGGCGCTGGGTTTCGACAGCAATATTGGTACATATCCTTGGTGCAACCGTGCACTTTTGCCCCTCCGAGCTTGCGAGAGAGCCCTTCACCCCATTTTTTTTTTTTTTTTTTTTTTTTTTTTTTGTACCTAAGCCTGTCTCTATCTGTATACTACATTTCAGCACTTAAGCGCTACTTCCACTCAGTGGCTTTTTACACGCTAATTACTCGAGATCTATTTTATTCATCTCCTCGAGCGCTAACCGATGTGTATTTTTACATCACTGGAACGTTTTTTTTTTTCTCTTACTCGTGCCGAGTTGGTACGAATCTATTAATATATAATATACGTATACGGCGAAAGCGAGGATGAATGTCGAGTGCAAATAAGTATACGCAATTCTCGAGAAACTTGAAAATTTGTTGATAGAAGTGGTATTTAACGAGGAGCGGCCTCAGCTTTGGGCCAATCAAGCGCAGCGTAAAATACCGCACGGCTAATTGAACGGAAAAGTTTGCTTCGGCGCTAACGAAGCCCCTCTCTATTCCGTGTATCGCGGATTATATTTATATTTCCTCGAGACCGAGAGAGAGGCGAAAACGAGCGCGCGACGAAGCACCGGAATTTCATAATGAAGCCGTGGCGCGACACCCACGCCAAGGTACACGGTGTACTAAGCACCACTCCGTCGGCGATTAGATGGAGAAAAAGAAAAAAAATTGATAGAGGAGTATGTAGAGGTTTGTACTTACAGCAAGCTGAGACTCGAGATCGGCCTTTTGGGCCCCGAGCTTGAGTGCCTTCTCTTGGTACTCGGCGAGAGCTCCCTTCTCGCTGTCGAGGCCCTTGAGCAGGCTGGTCTTCTCGTCGAGGAGCTTCGTGTTGAGCGCCTCGAGCTCTATGCGCATCTTCTCCTCGCGCTCGAAGGCCTCCTGGTACTTGCGGGCCTTCTCCTCCATCGCCTGCAATTGTTCGCTCGAGTCAGCCATTGCTCCGTTTATCTTTGCCCGTTGATTTCGTTCGGAATTTCTAGTTTTTTTTTTTTTTTTTTTTTTTTTTCTTCTTCTTTCAAGGGGACGAGTCTGGGGCGTAGGGTGGGTTTTCTTCGCTATACCCCGTCAGTCTTTTCTCACAGTGGAATGCGATTAAAATATATGTATTATCACAACCGCACGCGGAGCCGAGTGGCGAGAGCAACTCCGTGGAAATCGTCGATTATGCCCAACAGGGAGGGGCCGCGACCCTGGACCGTCCGGTTCTCTCCAGCGAGAGAAAAACACCGAGATCCCGGATATTCGTGTGATTTCCCGCGGAATATGTATATATATACATGCGCTCGTTGTCGTCGTCGTCGTTTTGTTGTTTTTTTTTTTTTGTTTTGTTTTTTTTTTTTTCTTTTTTTTCGTCTATCTGCTTCCCCCTTGGTCGTTCAAGTCGTGTGGCAGGTGCGCGCGTCCCGAGTCTTCGCCAACTGTACTCGGAGCCGATGCTCCGGTGCTTCTGAGGTTTTACCGATCGAAGCTCGAAGGCGGGAGTAGGAGGGTGCCCCGTGATCCCAGGGTGGCGGGGTGGGGGGAATCAAAGAGAGAAGGAAAAGAGCGCGTCGTCTCGTTCGGATTCAAATGAAGAGGCAAAAAAAAAAAAAGAAAGAAATAGAGGTTGGAGAGGGGGGTGGAGCGAGCGTGTGTAGTAATGATTAATCGTGGTGGTGCGCGCGCGCGCGAGTCGCTCGATAGCGAGGCGAGAACTGCGCCGGGGCTAACGCAGCTCCGAACTTTTCTACCCCCTACCACGGGAGCGTGCAGGAACGGGAGATGAGGTATCCGTGTGTCGCTCCTCCTCCCGCCCCTACTTAACGGGGGGATATTTTTCTGGTGAAAATATTTATAAACCGGCCGATCCGAGGGAACGGCTAAAAATACCGGGCGAATCGCGAAATCGAGACGGGCTCGCTTGGAGGGGAAGAATGTTCTCCAGAGCCAAAGATGACGGCGACGACGACAACAACGGGCTCCAGCGGCTCGGAAAGGAGAGCTGTACCGATCTTCCCGCGACGAGGAGGGACGCTTTTAGAAGTGAAATTCAATAACGATCGCTTTTTTTTTTTTTTTTTTCCCCTCGTAGGAGAGGAAGCATTGGTAATATGGAGCTCTTTAACGATAAAATTAGAGCCAAGGATACGTAAAAAAAAAATTAAAAAAAAATAAAAAAAAAATATAAAAAAAATAAAATTTGTTTTCACAAACTCATCGAGGGAATTTTTCGCGCGCTCTTGGACGTGTCGCCACCGCTTTTTTCTTTTTTCTCTTCTTCTCCCGCGCGTATACGATTTTCGCGAGGTACAGTCCGATATTTTTGATCCCCGGCATACATCAGAGCGCGGTAATAATATTCCGAGGCAAAAAGTTTGCACGGTGACAAATTCGAGGTGGAGGGAGGGCGCGAAATTCACGAGGAGGAGATGGAGCCGCTTAAAATATACGGGCCGCGGTCCAGGATACACCAAGCGATTTTTTTTTTAAAACTGCCCCACCCCCCAAGCGCCGTGTATGCACATACATCTTGTTTACGCGGCTCGGATACGCGCGTGAAATTTCGTCACCGCATCGGTTGCCTCGGATTTACAAGCGTCTGGATTATTTTTGAGTGCGCTAACGAATCGTATTTCTCACCACCTACATACCGCGTATACATACCGATTTAGAAATGAATGGCGATTTAATTATCATAATTTGTCGGGAATATCGTTCAAACCGCGCGTGCGGCGCGGGTATATTTTTGGTACACTGTTTCGCTAAGGTTATTAATATCTGGGTGAATCAATATTTTTAAATAAAAGTCATAAAATGGCACAGGTATGCGCGATCGTATACGGGATCGGGAAATATTTCAAAGTGCCATCAGAGTTTGTGAAAAATTCCAAAAATCACCGAGAGGAAAAAAAAAAAGATGGTTTTGCACCAAAACCAAGGTAGACTCACAATGAGCTCGTCTTCGATGCGAGTGGCGTTGAGGAGTGGCCTGACCTTCTGCCAGAGCTTCCACCAGGGCCAGGTGCGGAGTTTGAGGTACCTACGCAAGTTCCTCTGGATGACCTGTAGAGCGAGGCGCTGCTCCTGGCGGGCCTTGAAGTCCTTGCGGGCGAGGTAACCTCGCACGTACGCCTGCATCCACGAGACGATCTTGCCCAAGCGCTCGTCACGGAACTCCTCCATCTGACCCAGGACTCCGGCGCGGAAGAACACCTGTTGGCGCGGGCCAGTGCAAACACGACACGGTTAACTCGGGGGAACCCCCCAAATCCACGCTTTCTCGGCTTGCGAGGACATTCGACAGTTTGACCAGCGCCACAATGGCCCAGGGGGAAGACGAGCTGTCTTTTTTTTTCCACCACAATCGATTGGGGCCTTTTGTGCCATTCAGCGAGCGACAAACACTGTCGAATGTCCTCTTTGCAATCAAATCAGTTGGGTTAATCGACACGGAAAAAGATTTTTCAAAAAAATTTGTTTACTCCCAGCATAGCTGAGTGACATAAGGTATACGAGTATAATTTACATTTAAAATAAAAATCAAGTATATAGTAACAATCCATTTTTCCTCGAAACACCTTTCTCCGTGGGAATATATGTGTATATACATGTAGTGTACGTGTTAATACATTGATCACGTTGATTATTATCTATAAATTAAGTGTCGAACATTACAGGAGTCGGGAGTAGAGCGGGGATGATGCGTGAAAAGAGACTTGAACACTGTTTCCGACGATAGTCATACTTTTTCCGAAAATACGTGTTAACTTGGATTGTACAACCTTGAACTTCTTAGAAAGAGCGAAAAATAGTTTGGCCGCTAAACGCGATTGTTACACGGAAACGAGGGTTGGTTTAAATCTCTTTTGGGGCCTTGTAAAGCGCTTGGATTTCTCGGTAAAGAAGCAGGACACTTTTTTTAAATTTAGCTGGTTTCTTGGATTTTTAGTCGCTATTGTTTTTTTGTTTTTTTGTTTTTTTTCTCAAGCGAGCAATTCGTTAGTTCACATGATAGCGGCATGTAATGGTAAAATTCACAGGGAGTTAGTTTCGTGACTCGTCATTCAAGCAAAACACGTAATTTCGTTCGTTTTGTACCTTTCAAGGATACGACAGTGTAAAAATCCGTGAACGCGTTGTTCCTTGTGAATATCGCATGGAAGAGGAAACGAAAAAAACGTATCGTATCCTTGAATGTACCCAAAACAATGTCGAAAATGTCATTCTCCAGGCAATGAAGTACCTTGCTGGCACCCATGCGGAACTGATCAGGAGATACAGTTTCGTCAAGAATGATTTGAGTGGCTTTCTTTGGATCCATGCTGTCTGTCACTCTTTTGGCACACAGAATTTTGTATCTGCATTGCGTCGCAGAGTAAGTAGTGTTTTAGGATACGCACACAGTGGAATAATTGGACGTACATATAAAAAAAAAGAAGAAAACAACAACAAGGCTGTTAGAGATGTTTGTTTTGCATTCTCGATCGTCTGGTTTACGAGATTACGGGAGAATTGTGTTGAGCACCAGGTGAATATTTTTTTTCAACCGTATCGTACGATCACTTTTTGTTTCCATACAATCCACGTGATGCTGTTGGTGATAAAAAAAATACATTTTTTAATTGGTAAAACGTACTTTGAATGTGTTTTTCAAGATTGTCTACAAAACACATTCTCATGGTAGTTACGCATAACATTAGGGTTGGCAAGTGCACGTCTACTGGACAGTGGTGATTTTCACGAGCTGCGAAAAATTGAAAGATTTACCGTTAAAGCGGGTAAAGCTTTCAATTTGTTGCGTCGCGTTGTCCAGAGGCATCGTTATTGGTGAGCAAGATGCTTAGATGAACTACGATGTCTACGTTTCTACGCTTAAGGAAAAATAAAAGTGCGACACCTTGAACTTGGGGATCTCTCGCCTCACCGTATACCTACTATTTTTGAACACCCACTGTGTTCTTACGTTTGACAAGTATTTTTTTCAGTTTGAAAATTCTGGCAACGCGTTGTTCAATACCACTACTTAGTTGCAAATCGGCATCATCAGATCGGAGTGCAGAGTTCTCAAAATACATTGAAAGTAGCGAGACTATGATTTTTGTGCATAAATACTCGAGCTCCATACCTCTTACTTATTTTCATCTCGGTTTTCACTGCCAGAGTTTAGGATAAAAAATATGTTACAAACATGTATTAACTGTATAATTTCTGTGTCTTACAGTTTTTGACTTATTTTACTTTTTTTTTTTAATTGTAAAATTGCCTTTAAATTTTTTTGGCATGAAAATTATGTTGACACTTCTAACTCTACTGAATGTGATTTAAGGATCTTCAAGCAGATTACAAATCATCAAAAACTTTTTTTTAAAAACGGTTTCTGTAAGTTAATTAAAAGGCATCTGGAAATTGGAATGCATCTTATTGGGACACCTATTAATTTAATATAACATTTGGGCAATCAGGGACTCCCACCATTATTTTTTTTAGAAAATAATTCGTTTTTTTATGTACTTTTTTGCAAAATAAAAAAAATCTTCATCACCAAAGGTACGCGTAAAGTCGATTCAAAATAAACTTTTGTATACACCGATTGTACATTGTGAATACAAGGTAATCCTACAAATGTTTGGTACATTTTGTTCATCCTACACCTTCGCAAATAAAAACATGTGAACAGTACAGCGCCCCGAATTGATAATGTCAAACGTAATTCCAACCAAGTCTTAGTAATGAAAAAATGTGCTGCCAGTGTTCTCCAACCGACGTACTACCAAGTTAATGCTGTTTTAGTTCCGTATAATTGTCATCACGGAGATAACATGGTTGTTGTGCTCGTAAACTATACCACAAAATTAGAGATCCGGCACTTTTATTTTTTCCATCAGCGTACAAGATTCTACTGTATAATCTACACATATGACTACGGGAGGATCGACAATAAAAAGCAGGCTGGAACATTATCCCGGTCCTTTCGGGTTGTGAAGTGGCAAATAATCATAATTTACGTGTGACTCATCAGTATATGGTTTGCACAATCAAATGTAATCATCAGAACACTAGACATCACAAAGTTGAATCAAACCTTGAATATTAATTGACAACGATAAACACCTTTTCTCAACATGTATACGGACATCAAGTGCAGGTAGGTACATGTGAATGAAATAGCGAAGAAAAATTGCGTCGTTTCGAAAAGGTGTCCATATGATCTGATTAAATTGGATATTAAGAACGAAAAAAAGAAAAAAAAAAAAAAAAAAAAAAAAAAAAAAAAAAANAAAAAAAAAAAAAAAAAAAAAAAAAAAAAAAAAAAAAAAAGAAAGGAAAAAAACAATGGTAGAGCGGCTCCGCTGGCATATTAGACATGATAAACCGTGCCTTGGTGTGTCCAAGACGATACTGCTCGGGATCGAGCTGGGCTCCCTCGAGGATAGCCTCGGCAGCCTTCTTCAGGTCTCCGCCGGCCTTCTCGCACGCAGCTGGCGCGAGGATTTTGTACCTAAAGGTTGTTTGGTCGGTCGGCGGTGTGTGGTCGGGGATATTTGCACGCACATAAAAGAGAAGAGAGGGTCCGGATCGTAGACCCAGATTAGTAGTGGGAACAACAACTTCTACTCTAGTTTTTCTATCATACAATACTATATTGCTTTATCTACGTTTTTTTTTTTTTTTTTTTTTCACTAATATTACTTCAACGATACGATGGTAAGGGTGTAAATACATAACTATTTTTAATACTACGGGGATGTGGGAGGTGAAAAAAGGATGGCCACGTTGATGATGTTCGCTGCCACTCTGATGATTAGTTCCTCCGTCAACTGCTGCTTCTGTTTGAAAGATCGAGGGGGAGGGAGGTAGTTATAACTACAACAACAAATCTAAGGTAAAACCAATACAAATGTGTCTACGATGATGGGTATTAACTACTCGCAGTAAAGGGTCAAACTTTGTGAGTTGGGGCGCGTTTTTCCACATTCACGATGAATAGTTTGATAAAATTGAGAAAAATCACTTGCCAATGTACAGGTTTTCTTCGTTTTTCTCGATTTTTATTAAACTGAACGAGAAAAACGCTCCGCTTCATTGGATAAACACTTATGCAACGTTGGTGGAAAAATCATCTAAATAACAATACGGGGCTTCCAACACACTCTGTCTACTAAAATCTCAAACGTGTGACGAGGGGAGTTCAAATCGTCTACTCAACAAAATTTTACAAAACTGGATGTACATCTACCAAATCGGAATTAATTAATTAATTATTTTACTTCTAAGAGTAAGTCAACTTGAAAACACATAATCCATATACGAGACAATAGGAAGTACTTATACGGTGAAAGAAAGGGGGTCGGAGTATGGTTTTTGTGGGTATACGTAATTATTGCGACTCTTTTTTTTTCACAATAGGATTTCAACTAGCCTTAGTGTGACCAATCCTGTAACTGTCCGGATCTAGACCGATCGAATCGAAGCAAGCCTGAGCTGCTTTCTTTGGTTCAGCTTCCGCCGCCATTGCAGCTGGCGCTAAGATCATGTAACTATATGCCAAAAGTTATAGTTTTTGTTTTTTAATTTATTCCTTCGTAATCTATAGCCAAAAACTAAGGGATATCCTAACTGTAAATTATTCATAACCTACAGTTTAAATGCATTGTATTCATATTTTAGGTTATGATGATTGTACTCTATATCCCTGTATTAAGAAAGTAATAATCCAGACAATTCTACTAATACACATTTTACGTACACTCGAGTGACTTTATACATATGGTCCAGGTACCATTTTACAACAGTCCTTTTTATATGTACATAGAGTTTAATGTTTCGATGTATAATGTCACTTGAGTGAACTTGTATCAGCTTTAAATTGAAATGTTCAACGAATCGTAGAATTGTCGGCAGACGTAAATGGAATAATCGAAAAGAAAGCACTTACCGCAGCTTGAAGTCAGGATAGACCATCCTGTTGGGGAAACCTTTCCGGCAGATACGGATGCCTTCAAGCACACCGTTACAGGTCAGCTGGTGCATGACGAGATGCGAGTCAATGACACCCGGCTGCTTCAATTCGTTGGGAATGATACAACGGACAAAGTGAGGCTGGGTGGCTCTCAGGGTTGTCATCAGGTTGTTCAACTGTTCCTTGTAAGAGGACGACACGGTGGAGAAGCCACCTCCCTTCTTACCACGGCCGCCGCCACCGGCGTCCTTGCCACCGGCCGCGCCGGACTGGCCGGGATGGTCGGCAAAGATCTCGATCAGCAGGTTGTTGCTGGATTTCTTGTACTGATCGACCACGGTATCGTTAAGCGGGTCCTTGTTCTTTTCCAACCAACCAGTGATATTGTACGGCACCTAAGTGGGACACAAGCGAATACATATACGTATAAATCTTTGATGATTTGGCAAAACATGTAGTGTTACTTTTGTGGGGGCAAACCAACATACCTGGCCGGCGTAGTGACCAATGGCAAAGTGGGCTGCTTGCTGGCCTGGCTTGGGTGGCTTGGGCTTCAGGAAGTTGGGACTCTTGCCGAGATGGTTGTTGTTCAGCTTCTCTTCGAAGGTCTTGTCCGTGGCTTTCGGGAACATAGACTCTTCTTCGAGAATCGAGAGGATACCCATGGGCTGTGCAAGAGAAAGAGAATTACGCCCGTCAGATGGGGAATGCATTGAATCCGAATGAGTTCTCAGCATCTCCAAGAGTAGCGTGTTTTTAAAAGTTTTTTCATCCGAGCATCGTCAAATATTTTTTTATTTAAATTTGGAAAGCAATTTTTAAGTGCACAGGTACTTCCAACGACATGTTTACATAAAAATTTTTTTTTACCTTATACTACACTCCCCTTTTGCTGCTTTTCGACTTTATAAATAAAGTACAATAGTTTCCTATGAATAACATCCTGTACAATTTTTTAGTTTAAAGGATTGACAGTCACGTAAATCTAAGCTAATTTATTCGTTATCAAATTAACTGAAGTTATGTCAAATANTTATTTATTATTTTTTTTTTAAACATACGAAATTTGACACATCAATAAACTACTGCAATATGTCTACGATGTATACACGTATGGATAGGCTAGACCGTTACAGTTTTTACAATTCCTATCAAAAGTATCAATGCTCAATCAACGCTGAAATGAGCCATAAATTACATCGTCGATTCTATGTTGATTCCGTGTTGAATCAATTCTGAATAAGCATTTAATCAACGTTGATTCATTGTGAACTTGACAGTATAATTTATTTGAATTACAGCTGCAATGCTGACTTAAACAAGGGATTATTTTGAAGTCAATTACTAATATCGGCTTGAATCAACGCTTATTCAACACTGAATCAACGGGGAATCAATACAGAATCAACGGTGAAATCTACGACTGATTTCAGCATTGATATTTTTGATAGGGATGAAACGTCAGTTCGAGGGTTAATATTTTGAAAATTGGAACAATCGATTAAGAAACAAATTTTACTGCAATCATTGGAGCTTAAAAGCTGCTCAAAGTTTTAAGACATTACTGTTACTTTTATGATAAACAAGTGATGATGCGATTCTAAACTTTATGTGTGATAAAATACGAAACGGCGATGATCGCGATCGCGCAATTGATTTTTTACCGCTACTCTTAGTGCTTTTTTCGTCAAGTAACCATTTGGCATTCAAAGTACGAATGTCTTTTATTTATTTCAAAAAATGCTTCAATTACTCGATGAAAATTTTTTGCTTGGCATACGATAATTATCCGAGTACGTGAAAAATTTGTTTGAAAAAGCATCCTTGTATACGATATACTTTTCCACACAAACCATCACATATTCCATTTCGAAACACCGCACACCCGTGTCACGTATACGATAGAAAATCGTGAGTTTTTGTCCTTGGTAATTCCCAATTTTGCCAAAGTATTGGACCTTGGATGTGCGGTGTAAATGTTACTTATGATAAGAAAAAAAAAAAAAAAAAAAAAAAAAAAAAAACTTGTTTCTCAGACAGAGAAATATTTGGCGAAAATATAGAGACAACATAAATATGTACACAATGGGAACGTGGATAAACACAAAAAGCGAAAACACAAATGTAACGTGGTATACATACATACTTGGCAATGTGAAACACAGAGCGAGGCTCAAACGAAAAGCTGCTGCCGATTGCTGCGTTTTTTAAAGCGATGTATATAGGTAAAATTGCGGCAAAACCCATCGCCAAAGCACGCGCTTACCTTCTCGATGAGTTCAATTGTTTTTTGGAGATCCATACCAAAATCAATGAAAGTCCACCTGATGCCCTCGCGCTCGTACTCCTCTTGCTCGAGCACGAACATATGGTGATTGAAGTATTGCTGAAGCTTTTCGTTCGTAAAGTTGATGCAGAGCTGCTCGAAGCTGTTGAACTGGACGTCCGGTTAAGTGGATCGTCGCGGTTCGATTATTGCGCGAAACACACGGAGCACAGAGATCAAGATAGGCATTGCATCAAAGTAACGCTTAGAGGGGAGATTTGCAAGTATCAAGAAAAGAAATTTGGAAACAGAAGTATATATAGACAATAGTTTGGAGAACACGTTGTCTCGTTACGCATTACAACTTCCGGCCATTGCCCAAGATAACAGGAACATTATTGTGAACTTTGTTTTATTACGTACAAAGCACATATAGGTGACAACGTTGGTGTTGTACCGAATATATTTTGCACGCAACTGTTGTTTTTATAATGGTACAATGACGCAATGGAACTCGATGCAATCTCGTATGACAGAGGTGAGAGTGCGATCACTTGTTGAACGAGATATGGCGGAAGGATTAAGTGCTGTGAAAAAGAGATGATAAGAGGGTTACGATAGTCATGGTCATGCTTGCGAAATGAGTGGTACAAGGTTGTTATAACGAATTAAACGCTGCACTTCAAACAGTATACGGGAGGAGGAGGATGGCATGCTCTGTTCTTCGTGTTTGGTCATGCAGCCACCGGTGACGTTTTCGTTGTCTTCGCATCATTCATTTTCTTCAAATACATTCTTTTTCGGTCTACAGCTTCCGATTACTATCGAGGCCGTCCATCATTCTCGAGCTGTACCTTTTCGATGAGGTCAATCGTTTGTTGGAGATCCATCCCAAAGTCAATGAACGTCCACTCGATGCCCTCGCGTTGGTACTCCTCTTGTTCGAGGATAAACATGTGGTGGTTGAAGAACTGTTGCAACTTCTCGTTGGTGAAGTTGATGCAGAGTTGCTCAAAGCTGTTGTACTGTGTGCGTGTGTGCGTTCGAAATTTCGTGCAGTGCGATGACGATTAACAAAAACATAGAAAAAGGCAAGACAGTGGTCAAATGACTGCTTTTGCCCCAGACGGGTGGTGATGGTTGTTAATGATTGTAATGAAAGGGAGGTGTCGTCGTGTGATCGTGGGGCGGGGGGGGTGGAGAGTTAATATTCGTCAGGAGGTGCGATGTCGTAGTCACTCCTGATTCCCAGGGGTTTTTGGAAAAACCATCAATCCTGTAATGGTTACTGTTGTTTTTGGTGGAACTAGACAGACCAAAGATCGAAACTTGACATTTTTTTTCAATCTCAGTATAGGTACACTTTTTTTCATTTGAGACGTCACAAGGTATTGTACTTTTTGTGCGAAAAAGTGGGAAGGAACAGACACGTTGATCGGTGCCGTTGATCTTAGACTTTGGTAAGTGAGTGAGGGTAGAAAGAAAAGAGCATTTTCATTGGCTCCTTGATAGGGGGATGTGGACGGCACAACGAGAAATAGTAAAACAAGACTGTTTCAAGTAAGCAAATAGAACAGAAGGTGTACATGGAAACAAGAACGTCGTATCTTATACGCAAACAGAGCGAGTATCGATTGCGAAATGCCCTCGTTGATGCAAGCCCACTTGTATCGAGAAAACATTTCGCAAGTATAACAACTCTGTTTTCGATACGAGGACAAGAGAGTTTTTGTAAATAACAGCCATAGCAGGGTAGGTACTGGTATCGCGTACCTTAATCAGCACTTATGCACACGTGCCGCATACATTGAGAAAAACGTTGCTGAAGCTTCTTTTGCACTCTTACAAAATAAAAAATACAGGCGCGAGAGAATCTCCTCTCTCTCTATCGCTAAAGGTTGCAAGCCATTTTAATCGGGTGTACAACGTCGATTCGTCGTACTGGAGGCTCTCTCTCTCTCTCTTTATTTTCGTCCCTCGCCGATCTGTTACCGATACCTTTTCTATAAGTTCGATACAAGCCGCCAAGTCCATCCCAAAGTCGATAAACGCCCACTCGATGCCCTCGCGCTGGTACTCTTCTTGCTCGAGCACGAACATGTGATGGTTGAAAAATTGTTGCAACTTCTCGTTGGTGAAGTTGATGCAGAGCTGTTCAAAGCCGTTGAACTGCGCGTTTTGAAGTAGCACGAGACACATAATGCAGTGGCAGAGAAAAAAAGAAAAGGACTCGTGATGATTTATGCGGGAGGCACATGTTAAGGTGGTTCGTGGACGTAATCTCTCGATGTGGGGCCATTGTTGCGTGCGACCGAATCACTGCGACTCGTGTGAGTCCTTAATCCGCAATGAATCGCACTTGAGTAGGTATACAGATAGAGTGGCAATTTGGAGATGATGGCTATTATCCTGAACGACTTTGAAGTAGTGCAAATGATCTGTGCACGAGTGAAGTAATTGTATGCGTCCTTGATTTAGAAGTCGGATGGGCTCGTTTGAGGATCATTGAGAACATTATTGCCTTTGAAAAGTTGCGAGGGATGAAAGTGGGACACGGTGTAAAGCAGACAACATAACACTTGGATTGTACATTAATGAAAAAAATTAAATAAATAAACAAATAAAATTAAAAAAAAAAAGGACACGAGGACAGACACAGATAAAAAGTGAAAACAGTGGACGATCACGTTTCTTTCAATCTCACAGCTCGTTGGTTTTGTAAAACCCGGTTGAAAGCGTTAAACAACGAAGTTAACGAAACGAAACAGCGGAGCAGACATATCAAGCCCTTGTCGTGTTCCATAACATGTGCAGGTGGGGTTAATAGGTTCAGCTCGTAAATGAGTGAATGTCTCGTTCACAAGTCAGGCAGGCGTTTGTCGCGTGTTCATCCGGCTTTGTGGTCTGGCCCTTATCGGTCGGCCAGATCTTTGGCAAGGGAGCTCGCAAAGTACCTTCTCGATGAGCTCGATACACGCGAGTAGATCCATGCCAAAGTCAATGAAGGCCCACTCAATGCCCTCCTTTGTGTACTCCTCTTGTTCGAGGACAAACATGTGGTGGTTGAAGAACTGTTGCAACTTCTCGTTGGTGAAGTTGATGCAGAGTTGCTCGAAGCTGTTGAACTGTTCGAGAGCAAAGGGCAACACGGGTGTTCAGATCTTTTACTGATTTTTCCGATTAGCAATTTGTCTGTGATGTTTTTGCTTGTATCGGGACTCCTTCCTTTTGGTTTCTTTTGCACCTCGTTGCTTTAGGAAGTCATCCTTATTTTTTAAGGATCATTGTATAATCGTAAGGGTCTGCCTCAGGATTTCCTCTAACGTATTATAATACTACATTTTTTTTGATAGGTACTTTTTGTATTATCGACACAATTGTAAATACCTTTTTTTTTTTTTTTTCACTAAAAGCTCATAGGTGGCATGCAACATTTTTGTAGTTCCAAGGTAATTTTACACATGGTTTACATCGAATAATACTACCAGTAGGATTGCGAACAACAGATATGGAAATCTCTATTCCGATGTATATCAGAGGTAATAAAACATAACGCGCAGTACTTTATTAAAAGAATATTCAGTTCAAGGATGAATAAAATCAGCTAGAAATTTCCATTCTTTGCGTGAATAAGTCTCGTTCATTGAGAGATAGTTTAAGAACTTTGGGGTACAGGTTCATCACAACATCCAAAAGTCCACTGTTTCGTGCCTCGATTTAGAATTTTTTGTACAGGATTTTTCGGAGCGGGAGTAAACACACTCATCGTGGAATGTATATAATATATATGTAAGGGGGTAACACAAAACATAGTTTACCTTCTGATTAGTCATTCGTAGACGACTGCTGGTCTTTAGAGTTTATCTACCTGCTGACCTATATTACCTCGATGGACGTTCAAAGTTTGACGATAATTTCTCATTTGGAGCTTGGCGTTCTTAACATCTATAACATCGATTACACTCAAAACACGTCTGCATGAGGGGGAGGGTTGGTACAACGGGTGTTCTCGACGACATAAATCGAGAATTCATGCTGATGATGTGGGTACAGTAAAAAAGGAAAAAAAAAAAATAATAATAATAATAGAGTGAAATAGTTATAAATCACAAAATCATGGAAAGTATTCGTTTGAAGTACGTTCGTCGAAAGGTGAATGACAATTTAGTAGACGTTTATACTTATTGACTTTAGCACAAAAATAAACTAAGGACAAACATTAAAATTTGACATGAGTTGGGTAATTCACTGACATTGATCAATATACATGTATATTCATCACGAGATAACACAACACTGTTTCTCATGTATTATATAGAGATACATGAGGTATAGTTGAAGTTTCAACTATTGGAGATACTTTTTTTTTTTTTTTTTTCGTTCATGGATTGGTTGTCATGCCAATTGAACGGGGGTGTAAACAAGGTGTGAAAATAGATAGTGCCAATCTCATTTGTTGAGGGCCTAGAAGAAGTATATTTAAATGGAAAGGACAAGAAAAACCAGAGGGCTCCGAGGGGGAAACGTCTACCTTTTCAATCAGCTCGATACAAGCGAGCAAGTCCATGCCGAAATCAATGAACGTCCAATTGATACCCTCTTTCTTGTACTCTTCTTGCTCGAGTACGAACATGTGATGGTTGAAGAACTGTTGCAACTTCTCATTGGTGAAGTTGATGCAAAGTTGCTCGAAGCCGTTGTACTAAGATTTCACGAAACAATTATAGATTTGGTGTTTTGTTGAGTGTGGGGTGGGGGTATCTCTGTCTTTGGATGATTTGATGATGGTTTTGATGACGAGATTTTTCGGTGATATTGTTTTACTTATCTACAAATCTACGTGTTATTTTGATAAAATGGTCTGGACGACGATGTTGACGATTTCCTAAATTGGCTCACGGAAGTGTTCCTCAACTGTTTGGGGGCTCAAGTATACATAATATGCACACGTGCACCAAAAATACAGTTTCTCGAATGCAACATTATTACCCCATCTAGCTGATTTGCTAGACTTTTCAACTTTATTCTTGGTATTTTTGATTATCCTCGAGACTAGATTCGATTCTTCAAACCGTTCGCACTACAACTTCAATGCGTACGACGAACAAAATATAAAAAATCAGATTTTCTTCGTAAGATCATTAGAATGTAAAAAAATCGAATCTAGCCAGGTATATAATAATTATATATAAGAGAGTAGGGGGCGTTTGTGGCGTGTCTGTGTTACTCACGTCGAAGATCTCAAAACCGGCAATATCCAGTACACCGATGAAGTGCTGACGCTTCTGTTTGGTGTCCAGGGTCTCGTTACACTTCTTCACCAGCCACTTGAACAGCCTGTCGAACATGGCCTTGGACATGGCACCGACAGAGTACGCAACCTGGTCCTTGTTACGACCTTGGGTGACGAACTCGTTACCGACCTTGATCCTTGGCTTCAGCAAGTTCTTGTACATGTCTTGGCAGTCGACGCCGAGCAGTTTGGCCACACGCTCACCTTCCTACGGTTCATCGGTCATCATTGGTACAACATTTGGCGAATTTTAACGAAACAATTTTAACGGGATTTCGGTCATTTACCTCCATACCGTCGGCCTCGGCTTGCTCCTCGCGACCCCTCTGCTTGAACTTCATGCCACCCATGTGCATGACGGCGGCGGTGATCTTGTAGATGTTGTCCTTCTCTTCTTGAGTGAAACCCAACACGTCGAAGGCTTTCTACATGTTCCAAAAGTACCATCGATTAGCACGGCCGCGTTCAAACACGCTACGTTAAAATAATTTTTGCCAGTTGTACAATGGATATCGAGGAAACGTTGGGAGGGACACGTGCGGTGCGTGGATCACAGATTTGACGTTTATACATTGACTCTGGCAAAAATTATGAAACATTTGTGTATAGTACAAAAAGCATGTAAACATAAACACACAGGCACAATGTACAATAGACGGAAAGCACGAAAAGCTGTTCGATTACGAACAATCCAAGACAGTCTAGACGTTTTTTAAGCTGCGAGAAAAATAAATGCGCCATCAAAAGCAACGACAGATACATTTGCGCGGTGCAAACAAATAGATAAATAAGCAACATTGAAAGAGTGTAGATGGCAAAGCAGCGAAGCGAGAATTTTTTTTTTTTTTTTTTTTTTTTTGACAGTTGATATTACTTTGTACAGCTGATCTTAGGTTTGAAAAGTTGCATGGATATAAAGTGATAAAAGTAAAAGAGAATGAGGTTTTTATTGCCTCTTTGGTGATGTGTATCGCTATTATCACCTCGAACCATTGGTTTTTCGGTTCTTAAAAAAAGAAAAGAGATTTTCGGTGCTCCCATTCACGGTGGTTCCACATTGTACTGGAGATCCGGCAACTCTAGTCTCAAAACAACTTTCATTATTCGCAGTTCCAGCTTTTTTGGTCTTTCTGTTGCAATTTTATCGAGAATTTTTCGTAAATTCCATTTTGCATTGTCAACGGTCAAATTTTCCATTTTATCAATCACTCGGAAAATACGATATCCAAAATTAATCAACAATTATAAATTTATCTTGTAACCTGGAAAATTAGAACGTTGCAGTACTTTTTTTTGGAGATTTTTTCAATGATCATGAAGGATTCGGAATTTAAAGTTGAGGGAAAAATAATCCAATACTGTGACGCTAAAATCAAAAGCAAACAAAAATAAATTAAAATTTTCAAGAACACAAAGGGGTAACAAAAAAATTAAAACAAAAAGCATAGATAAAAACCATTTGGCTAAAGTGGAGTATTGCAATTGAATCCTTAATAGTACAACGATTCAAAGAAAAAAAAAAGAACAAATTATTAAACTCAATATTGAAGTATACTGGAAATAAACAAAAAAAATTTACATAAATCAATGGTTTAAGAAAAAGTAGTTGACGTCATATTCCGATAACTACTATTTTTCATCTAATGAAGGAAGAAAAAAGGGGGTCAGCTATTATCAAGATGCATGTGGTGACCGTATGTGGTTTTAAAAGGGGATATGGAAAATTCATACAACTCGTAAAAAAATCTCTACATCTTGCAGGAGTATAATGAAGAAAAAAAAAAAGTATATAAGAAAAGGTCAGTTTTCGGGAAGGGGAATAAAAAAAAAAAAAAAAAAATCAGGTACTTCTCCTAAGGAACGGGACTTACGTCCGTGAGGACCATTTCCTCAGAGTCGTCGATGCCAGGAATTGTGATCTTTCCTTGGGACACGTTGTAATAGTCGTAAATGTTGTTCGATAAGTGACACATTTCTGCAGAAAAATTTCGGGATGAATTAAAAAATTCTCTGTGCACCGTCATTTTATTTATTTATTTTTTCTTTTTTATATTTTCCGTTCCCAGCACCAAAAGTTCATCATCGCCAAAAAGTAACGTCCCGTCAGTTCAATAAAGTCGCGTCCATTTTTCCATTGGTATAACAGTAGATATTATATAGGTTCCGTACAAATGCGTAAAGGGACGATATTATGCGTGGAGAGCTGATCGGGGAGCGGGACCTGCCATGTTGTTATTTTTTTTTTTTTTTACTTAAAATTAATAAAAACCGTAATGCAATAGCCGTCATTAGATACAGATCGCGGGCCATCCTCTCCTCCTGAAATACGCCCCCCTCCCTAAGATCGCCGCTCCCGCCCCCCGACAGCGGCAGCTGCATGCGCTATGCGATTTTTTTTTTTTTTTTTTCAAGTTATTTGCGCATCCCTTTCGAAGTAGGAAGCTGCGCGCGTGACGGGGGAGGGTCAGGGCGACCCTTCATTGCTTCTCTATTGTCGCTCGTGTCAGCTTCTTTCTTCGAATGCGTAACAATAGTTAGAGAAATAAAAAAAAAAGAAATCAATTTACTTTATTACCTTTGGTTTATCATCTGCTCGATTTTTATTTCGTTCGTTTTATCTTTTGCTTTTATTTTGCGAAAAAAAAAAATACTTGCATTTATTCATATGTATGTGATTTATTGGTACAATGGGTTTACTTTATTCTGCGTCGTTTAATCATTACAAAAGTAATGAGTGTGCTTTATGATGTTGGAAAAAAATAAATAAACTCTGTAAAACAAAAAACGTTGTAATGGTAAAAAAAAATGGCACGATTCACGTGGTTGTGAAAGAAAAAGAAAAAAAAAAAAAAGAATTAACACGTTAAAACGAGCAAAGAGAGAGGAGCAGAATATTACAGAGGGGGAGGTATGGCGGCAACGACGGACTATACACTGCACATTGGACTTACGTCCGTGTACTCCATTTCCTCCGCGTCGTTGACCCCGGGAATTCTCGTCTTACCCTGGCTAACGTAGTAGTAGTCGCCGATCCGGTTGCTCAGCAACGTCATTTCTGCATATTGCGTTTAGCCTTCTTTTTTTTTTTTTTTTTCATCATTTTTTCCACACCCATGAATATACATAATGTGTATGTACGCGCCCAACCCGTGTATGCATACACGTAAGCCGCGCGCTCTCGCGTAAGACTCGCGGTGTGGCCTCCTGTTAATAATAAACCCGCGTAATGGGGCCACGCAAAAACGAACATCAGACGGACAGCCACGTCCCTCTCGGCTATCTTTCGCAGAGGCGGTCACTCGTCGCGACCAACGAAATCGGCGCCCGTGTATATACCTGCACGCTCGTACGTTACACGACTCGATTCATCTCAGCCAAACCGAGATAAGCTGCTTTTAACTCTCGTGAAATATAAATACTGCGTGTTTCATTTTTAATTTTCTTTTTCAATTTATGCATTTTTTAATATTTTTTGCGTCAAAATTTTGTCGACGATTGATATGTTGTGAAATGACATGATAATTTAGACGTTAGGTGCATCTGAAAGTAACCTTGAAATGCCAGTATCACAATTTTTATTACAAGTACAATCCTAAACGTAGGAAAGATGAATCTGTCATTTGGAAAGTAAGAAATAAAAGTCCTTGGGGTGGGTCAGAATGTGGATTTAAACAATGCTGCAGTAAAATCGTGTGCACAACACGAACGACAAACCTATACGAGTGCTTAAAAAAAATAATTATATTATGATGGAAAAACAAAAAAAAAGTAAACAACTTAATTGTACATGTGGTTGAAAATCAGTCAAGTCTGCGGTTGTGCTGATGCGCTGCGCTGTGCTTAGGCTAAGGTTAAAATATAAGAGGTTACATTGAGTATAGAGATGATTGCGATGATTTGCGACAGTCAACGGTACAGGCCAAGAAGATTGTTACAAAATAGTCATGTGTGCAATAGATAAAAAAATTAAAAAAAAAAAAAAAAAAAAAAAAAAAAAAAAAAAAAAAAAAACGTAAAGTGATGAATAACTGTGTGTACAATACAATAGCTAGGTGAAGATGTGATATATAATATAAATGTATCGACAGACAGAAAAATCGAGACAAGAGACAGTGAAAAAAATTACAAGACAGAGACACACTTACACAGTAGTAATATATAAATAACATAACTATTATGCTTATTATGTATTAAATGATCTACCAAGGCAGATAGTACACGTCAATGTTGGCACATGTGAGTGAATAACTTTTGAAATTTCATCAACCGATTCTTCCTTACCGATCTACTTTTATCTTTTCGATTCCGCTTTTTGGTAAAAACTGATTGTACGAAGCAAAAAATGATATCTCGGATCAAGATATTTCTATTAGATCAATATTTATTATTATTATTTTTTTTTCAATTAAACACGTTTTCAATTAAATTTCTCGCTCCAAAAAGTATGCGTTGGATAGTTGAGCGAGGGATTCAAAAATCCAAGGGAGGAGGAGAAACGAAAAATTGTTTTTAATAAGCATCAGAGAAGTGTGGTTTCGAGTTAAGTCGTGCGCGTAGGAAAGTGTAAAAAAACACCAAGAGAGAAAATATAAGGCAACGTTCCCTTCGGTCGCAATTCCGATCGGGACGTGCACTTACGTCGGTGACAAGCATTTCCTCGCCGTCGTCGAGACCGGGTATCGTGGTCTTTCCTTGCGAGACGAAGTAGTAGTCATTGATGTTTTTGGACAGCAGACACTTTTCTGGAGGTGTTTTTTTTTTTTTTTTTGGAAAAAAACGAAAAATAACATGCTTGGCCGAACCAACGGTACCTTTGGCGGCCAGGTCGTATCCTGGCTTTACCAGGGGCTCAAATTACCGAGTCGTATTTAAATAAAATCCATAATCAATTAATTTTTTAAAATTACTTATACTTTTCCACGGATAATTTGCAATTCACTTCCTAGTTGTTTTTCAATACGACTCGGCACTTTGTTTTACTCCCGAAGTCGGGCTTTATTCAAGGATGAGAATTATTCAACTACTTAATCTAAGGAAGATGCAGTGGAAAAAATATGTGTATATGTAATCTGACTATTTCGTGATGACAAAAGTCTTGCCAATTATCCCCGTTCACAAGGATTTTCAAATTTTGTATTAAAAAAAAAAAAAAAAAAAAAAAAAAAAAAAAAAAAAAAAAAATTATCATCATAATTGTGTAATTGTCTTCTATGGCTGGGGTATTCACTCATAAAATATACAGTTCGAGTCTGTCAGCAGAAATCCAGTTTTTCTAGGCATTGATGGTGTGGAGTTCATCGGAGTATCGACAAGTCCACATTTACATACTCAAAACTTGAAAAAGCCCATTCAGCACAAGATATCGCCTGTCTAGGACAATATTCACACAAGGTAATGCACAACCTCTGAAATTCGATTTTTATACCGATGTGAGGACTTATTTTCGGAATAACACATTGGCGAATTCAATGCTCACATCGGTATAGTTATCAGTCATGGGTACATTACCATCGATACTAACTCTACACTACATTCTACCCCGTGCTCGTGTTCTAGAGGCTTTTTTAATCGTTTGCTCTGTAAAAGGTTGTTGTTGATGGTAATTTTTTTTGTCTGTCATACTCAACATTTGACAGTATGTGAGTCACAGGGGAGAAAAACGCAACAAAACAAGACATTCACGGGTTCGAGGGCACGTGCGGTTTCCTACATATATGGTTCAATTGTTACGAAAATTCACGTGTACCAACTGCGTAATATAATATATTATAGAGGACGATTAAAATGTTGATAAGTACAAAGAAACTGCAACTCAACGAAAAAAAAGACGATACGAAACAGCTTCAAATCAAAATTTTTTATGCTTGGCACCGAGAGAAGTGTCAAAGTCAAAATACTCCACACGACTGTTTAGGGAAGTTGAACCAATAATTAACACCAAAAACTTCTCTCGGTTCCAAACAAAAAAAAAATATTAATAATACATTAAAAAAATTAATTAATCGAAGAAAGAGCTAAGGTCGCGCGTATCTCCTTACGTCAGTCAAATCGCACTCCTCGCCGTCATCGACGCCGGGAATCGTCGTCTTTCCTTGCGCGACGAAGTAGTAGTCATTGATGTCGTTCGACAGTAAACACATCTCTGTGCGCACCGTTTGTTTTTTGTTTCATTTTTTTTTTTTTTTTTTGTTTGTTTGTTTTTTTTCAGATAAGAGAACAAAAAAAAGAAAACTTATTTACATCAGTGCGAAACATTGAATGGATACGAAAAAAAATTGTTTTTTTTCTAAAATTAGATAAGTTCTTATAATTCTTTAAATTGTCTTCTGCGGCTGGACAAACTCGACACACCTGCCGATATCACTCTGCTGACCTTGTTTGGCACATAAAGTATCACAATAACAAAATTGCTAGTAGGCAAACATTACAGTCCAAAAATACATATTTGCACTTTTAGATTTTAGAGACTTTACTCTGAAATCAAATGAGATTTCCAAGAACGGCTTATGTATTTTTGTGTTGAAAAAGGGGGCGACCCGAAAAACTAAATCGTACTTTGTGATACGAATGAAGGTGACAATGACGCGTGAATAATAGGCTCGCGCGTATCGAGCAAATGAAGAGTGATCTCTTACCCTTTAGACCCTTAACCGAGCCGGACATCATCTGGTAGAAGATGTGGTAAGAGCGCTCCAACGACTGTTGGGAGATGACACGGGCCTTTTCCAGCAGATCTGTCGATTACGGGCAAAACAAGGCGTGTCAATTGCCGATTTCCAGCAAGTTCCGATAGAAATATCATAAATGGGTGAACAATTGAGCGACTTACAGGTCTCGATATCGGCACCGGCTAATTTTCCAGAGGGACCGAAGTGGATACGGATGAACTTACCCTGAAGATACGCAAGCGTCAATAATTGCAATTGTCAATGACCCCAGTTGGGCGGTACAACAAGGGCTTATACTTACGAAACGAGAGGAGTTATCGTTACGGACGGTCTTGGCGTTACCGAAGGCTTCCAGTACCGGATTGGTCTGTACGACCTGGTCCTCGAGGGATCCCTTCTTCTCGGAGCCAGGGTCCTTTTTGGTCGAGGCACCGACGGTGGCAAAGTACGCGATTACCTTCTTCGTGTTCTCAGTCTTTCCGGCACCAGACTCACCGGTGATCAACATGGACTGGTTCTCAGCGTCTACGCGACAAATAAAATAAATTTTTTATTTCTTTTCTTTTCATCCAACAGTGCTTGGGAGCGCGGGGTGCGGTTACGTACTTGTCAACATGTTGACGTAGGCGCCGTCGGAAATGGCGAAGATGTGGGGTGGCACTTCGCTACGCCTTTTGCCTCGGTAAAGTTTGGCGCAACGATGCGTGTACACCGGGAATCTCTTGTAAGGATTGATGGCCACGCAGAAAAGACCCGAGTAAGTCTGTGGAGCCGAACCGAGTTTCGTTGTTATGGATCGTGGTTTGTTAACTTGGATGTTTTTACACGCGGAAAAATAAAACGTGGTTTCCCGGGTGGCAGTCGAACGATCGGTTGTTGCGATTTTCGTCGACTGCCCCCCGAAAAGGTGCCATTGTCCATTTTGGCGGGTGTGTCATTAAAATCATGCCAAACGTTCGCGGCTTGGTGACTTGGATTCTTTGTACGCCTACAGCTGATACGTTTGTTTTTTTTTTGTTTTTTTTTTTTTTTTTTAATTTCGGACAACACGAGTGGTTGAGGGGTACACAACTTTCGCGTCGTAGAATGTTACATTTTGTCATTGTAAAAGGCACAACATCAACCACGGCAAGCACAAGGGGCTGGTGTTTGTCGTAATAGCATGCAACACTAGGTACGAAATCTATTTTCACGATTTTTAAGTGTTTTTTTTTTGCCTTTTACATTGTCAGGATCAAAGTATGCAGTATATAAAAGTTGTATTTTCCCAACCACGTGTGTAAAGGTCCAAAGTATCAGCTGTAAAGCAGAGGTTGACAATTGTTCTCAATTACATGCAGGATTGAAAAAAAAAAAAAAAAATTATTTTTGAACTAGTTATGCCCAAAAAAACGTCATTTTCAAACGTGGATATTCAATGAAATTTCAAAGAACTCAAATCGCAAGCGCAACAATGGATCTTCAAGGTAACGTTGAAGATTATAAAATATCAACTAACTACTAATAATTAGGTACTAAAACTAGGAATCATAGAGGAGATGTCGATCATCGTCATTTTCATCTCTTTGGTCGATCGATTATACAAAAAGCTTACGCTCGATGATATTCTGTATTTTTATTTGACTAATTGGAAAAAAAAAATCAATACATGTATATAAAAAACAATACTCATTTGATAATAACATCTTTCGTAAGCTTTTGTAGTAACAAACTCTCAAAGTACGTGTTAATGTAATTTCACGTAGGAAGCTTATTCGTCTTGAAAAATAAGTTATTCCACGTATAATCTCGCTACGTTTGAAAAGTGCCAAAAGTCACAACCAAACTCGTAATAAATGAGCATAGATTTTTGACACTCGAAACGTAGAGAAATAATTGTTAAATGGCGTATATTATGACGTGAGGAAAAAAAAAAAAAAAAAAAAAAAAAAAAAAAGAATGGTGTCGAGGATCGGGCAGGTCTGTTGCTCCTGGGCCTCGGTGATGCGCTGCTGTAACTAAAATGTGTTCATCTGCGGGGGAAAAGAATAACCAACGATCTCCGATCGATCGAGAATCCTGTACATAAATTGCTTATTTGAAGCGTGAAAAGGATCCCAACTTCGATCAGATATCGCTCGTATCTGCAGTCAAAGAGACGTCGCTGCAAGTCCACGTGCGTTGTGCGACGCCCACGTTACAAAATAAAAGGGTAAAAAGAAAACGTATCAGCGGTCTGTGCTGCACAAACAGTATGTGGGGGAGTCATCGTGATCCCCGAAAGGGGACAGATGGATCTTACGTAGATAAGCTTAGCGTAGTAACGCTGCTTAAGATTGTGCAGTACGGACGCATCGTTGAGGTACGTCAAATTGGACATGTCCTCGGCCTTCTCATACTTGGGCGGGTTCACCTGCTGCAGCAGGTCCTTCTTGAAGTCTCTGGTCTAGATGTTCCGAGTGGAAAAGAGAGAAAAAAAAAACAAACGGCATTAGTCGTGGCAATGTACCTTGGACACTTACGTAAATGAATTTGTTGTAGTAGCGCTGTTTCAAATTGTGCAGGACGCAAGCTTCGTTGAGAAAAGTTAGGTCGGCCATGTCTTCGGCCTTTTCGAATTTAGGTGGGTTCACTTGGAGCAGCTGATCCTTCTTGAACTCTTTTCTCTGAAGGGCATGGGCGAGCCGTACGTCAATCATTTTCGATTTTTTTCGTTTTTTTAATTTTTTTTTTTTTTTTTCCAATGTTAATTATTTACCGTATATGTACTTTTTCTCGGCATTCCGAGAGTTACGTGACTCGTGCTTAAAGGTTTTTATGACTTTTCAAACACGAAGATGAGAAAAAAAAATACAATTGTCATAATAGGCAGCATTTCTGGTCTATACGTCTGTACATATACCTGTCGAGTGATTTCAGTTTGACTGTCGATCGGTAAATCGGCCGAGCTCGATTGCACACGCGAGCAGCAGGCCATCGACTCTTCAACAACATTTTCGTTTTAACAACTTTTTCTCTCCTATGTGACTTAATTGCACCAAGAAGAAACCGAACACGGTGGAAAAACCCTGTTTTCAGTAGTACAAGCGTATTATGGTCAGACGGGCCATGGAAACTGATTTTTTTTTTTTTTTGCGCGCCGAGGTGTTTGTAAAAAGACCGCGTTTCCCGGTAAACTACGACAACGACGCCTTGAGTCTCTGCCAACGGTAGTTTCACGCGGATAAAAGCCTATATGCGAATATAGACGGCGGCTCGTGCGCGCAAATGCGAGAAACGTCTTCTCGGAAGCTTATTTTCATTTGGCAAAATTTATGTTACCCATTTTTTCGCTCCCCCCTCTATTTTACGTTCGATCGTCCGTTTGGTGTAAAAATTTATTTTTGCTCACGCCACGGCCATCAAATTTTCATCTTCGCGCATCGATTCCCGCGAGCACAGCTTGCGTTCATTCATCCTCGAACAAGAGCGTAAACAATATATACGCTTTTCTTTTCTGTCAAATACCCGATGGCGGTATCTCGGCCGATCCAAAAACGTGCCGGTTCCAATTTCAAAATACATTCCTTCGGTTCAACAAATTCCACGGGCCGCTTGTAACCGCTACGAAAATAGACTCTCCCCTGCCATATCGAGACTTTGAGATTTGAAATCGCGAGCTCGTAGTTTATTTTTTGTCTCATTTCCTTTCCCGTGGATGTGCCATTGCACAAGCGATGAAAGAACCGAGATCCAAAATAAGTGCTCGTTCACAAAAAAAAAAAAATTTTTTTTTTAAACTGTAAAATAATCGTCATCGGGAGAGTGTAACAAATCGAATTGAAAAAGCTCCGAAAAGGCGGCCGCCGCGCAAGGCGGTGGTAACTTTGGAATCCCTTGCGTAAGAAAAGCTCGGGCTCATTTGGACGCTCGCGTTTCGTGCACGCACACCTTTTCCCCCGCACGCAAACACACGTGCGCGCGAATAGGTGATACACACACGCACACACATGCATACGCGCGATCTATATTTATCATGACCCGCGTTTCGAGATGCGGCATTTCGGAGTTTTATTATTATAGCCGAGCGGGCGTGTGTGTGCGCAGCTGCAGATGTATGTACGTGTATATGCACACATCTACGTAAGGCCCAGCTTCGGGCGCGTATACAAGCATAGCCGCGAGCAGCTAACAATAGCCAGAGCGCGCTGGTGCCGTCGGAGCGAGAGCCGAGCTGGTAGATCGGGTTTGCTGAACCAGAGAGAGAGAGACCTGCTCGCCTCGAGCTTTCGATTGCGTAATCGACGAGAAAAGCTCCCTGCCGTGCACTCGCTTGGTTCGAAGAAAAAATTTCGGCCGCCCAGCTCGCCGAGCTTTACTTTATTCTTTTGCTCTTTTCGCTGAAACATCGGATCAACATTTTTTTTTTTTTTTCCATACATCCGGGTGGGTGTTTTTCACGCGATAAAATACCGGTGCCAGTGCTCATTTACAACTGGGTTGCATAACGTATGGTTAAGTCAAGAAAAAAAAAATAAAAAAAATAAAAAAAATTAAAAAAAAATAAGAAATAATTTCTCTGAAAAAAAAAAAATCGTCCAACTAAAGGGGGTACGCGCGTACTTGTCCCGGTTGTACACGAACGTCGATGAGGGCAACAAGTTGTCCGTGAACGGATTCCCTGGAAGACGCGGCCGAGAAGGTCATCCATCTTATTGTGATTCGCTTCCGTCCGCGTTGCTAATCCCGCGATTTCGCGCCGCAGAACGGGAGCCGAGAGACATAATAGGGCCTCGGGCGCAAGCCAGGCAATACTAATTTTAGATCCCAGTGATTACTTTTAGACTCGTTGTTCAAATGGACGCTTTCTCGTGCGATATTTACTCTCTATCTCGTCACCCGCTTTAATGCCGATGTATACGCGTGTGACACTCGACCGGATCGAAAGGACATTAATTCATCCATCGTGAAAATGAGGCGAGTCACGTAATTCAAAACAAACACATTACTCGACGTAACGGCAAAGCGTTTCGTACATGTCATCGACGACGCGTTGACAAATCAGCTGTTGCTCGCATTTTTTTCTTTTTTTTTTTTTCTTTCTCTTGCTTCCCCTTTGCGTTTTCGCGTTTCTCTCTGGCTATTCTCCGGTGGCTCTTGAAATAGAAAACGCGAGCGCCCGATACGGCTTGGCTGGCGTTGCTTTTCTCCCGCTGCTCGTGAAATTTGTTAAACAACGCCGACGCCTCCCCCTCCGCTGACGTCCCCTTTCGAATTTTCGAGGAGCTCTTCCGATCCGACCTTCCTCGCGTCCCACCGCGAGCTTTTAGGTCGCCCTCGCAACTTCCTCTCCCTCGCGGAGAGAAAGCTCTCTGGGGCCATTTTTTCTCCCTCTCGATTGCGTAATCGCCGAGTGCGAATTTTCGGAAAGACGAGGTGACGTAAGCCCCTTTGTTCCCCTTTTGGGGTCGAGCTTTACATACTTGGCGCACCCCCGATCTCCCGATCTTTGGGCTTTTAATCACCCGGCTGTGTCGTAAAGTGTTTGCGTGGCTCGTTGTTTTACTTTACCTCAGTTGCGAGGTTTAAAGTGAAAGTTTGAGTTCTTTGATGGCCCGTAGAAAACGCGGATGGGGCGTAGCGAGAGGGGGGAAGCCGAGAAAATTGGCCGGGCGACAAATGTTGGCGACCGACGTGACGTAGACGGTGTCGGGCTGTTGTGTCATTTGGCGAGATCTTTTGGGTGCTATTACGAGTCGAATGCCTCCCTCTCTCTCTGCATCTGCTATTACGAATTGAAACGTCTTGTGCGCGGATGCTTTTCCGCAGGAAACGTCGTCGCGCCAAGGGGACTCTCACGCGTTGTACACGCACAGGAGGTGTTGGGATGAAGAAAAAAAAAAAAAAAATGAGGAAAAATTTCCGCTCGTCGATACCGCGCTACTCCATACTCTCCTCGAAAGAGGGGGAGAGTCTATTTTTAATGGAGCCCGAGCTGCTGCTCAAAACACCGACTCTGATCGTTCCAAGCTTTCGTGCGAGGCTACTTGATACTTTTTTTTTCAACATCGCGGTACATTGAATCGTCTAACAGACGAGATCTGGAAAGTGACGTTACGTAATAATAATATTCGTTGGCCTCTTTAATGGGCTTGAAGCAAATAACAATGAAACAAGGCGACGCGTGAGTGCAGTCGAAACGAAATAATAAAAATGTAAGGGAATTGTCGCGAGTATCGGAGAGCAGAAAAATGGGTTTTTTTTCAGAGGGGGTGAGGGGAAAAAAAAAGAGACGTACCTCGCCACCGGGAAGGCCAACGGAGACGACATCGCCCTTGGTCGCCTTGATCTCACCGAGGAGGTAGCCTTCCTTCTCGTCGGGCACCCAGCACGCCTTTTTCGCATCGTAGGGTTTCGTCTGGTCGATTCGCTTCTGCTCGAGCGAGACGTACAGGTACGGGGTTGGATCCGCATCCTCGTCCTGCTTCGGTGGAGCCGGCATCTTGGCTAACTTCTACGGTCGCTCCTGTAGCTTTCCTTCCTCGTTTATTCCCTCCTTTTCCTCGCCCGAAGATAACAATAATTTCGTCTCTCTAGCTGCTCCTCTCCTCGATCACCGCGAAATCAATCCACTACGTCGTCGTTGTCGTCGTCGTCGTTTTTTCTCTCTCTTTTCTCCCCTCGTGTCCCTCGAGCGGTAATTTTCAAGGCCCGCGCAGAGTAGTCCCAATCCTGCGGGCCGATCAACAAAAGTCGATTATTTACGAAGATTATCAAAGTCGAACAAGTAGTAGCGGTTGCGGTGCAAGGATACAAAGGAAGAAGAAGAAGAAAAAAAAAAAAAAAAGAGGAGGAGGAGGAAAAAAAAGAAGAAGAAGAAGCGTAGAGGGTGGGTAGTACAAAGTATCACTCGTGCTTTGCTTCTCGCCCTTCTTCCTTTTCTTTCTATCCTTCCTTCCTTCCTTCCTTCCTTCCTTCCTTCCTTTCTAATTCCTTACGTCCCGTTTGCTCTGTCCCACGTACCCAAATGCTGTGTGTCGGCGTGTGCTTATTGTGTCGTGGTTACTTTTCTTTTGTTTGTTCGCGATTCGTGCCCGGATTCGGCTTCACACTCCTTTTCTCTGGCTTCGGCGGCGGACGGACTGCTTCTGGCGGCACGAACTCGGCGGCCCTGCGGACCAAGACAGAACAGCCCGTATATACATACGTGGATGCACATATATATACACGTATAGGTAAATATAGGTAACGCGCCGCTCGGACACCAATATGGCGCCGCCACCGCTGCTGCCACTCACGCGCGCACTCCCACCCCCTCCCTTCCTCTGTGCTGGAGCATCGGATCAATCTTAGATCCTCACCCTCCTCCCCNTATATATATATATCGCACGCATTACGACCCTCCCTCCCTCATATCTGGTGAGCTTACGCGCAGAAGCGAACAAGCCGAACCCGGGACAGAGAGCGAGCGAACGAGAGATGAAAATAGCAGGCCTGGTGGGAGGCCTCCCCCTTTCTCCTCCGTAAGGGGCAAAGGGGGTGGAGACGCGCAGGATCGCGGCCGAGAGACCCCATAGTCGGCGCTTCGATCATGTCCGAGCTTTTTCGACCCCCCGCGAGGAAGCTACTTTTTTTTCTTCTTTTTTTTCATCCCTCGACAATTTGGATGTGTTGTTTGGTTGTACGAGGGTAATGCCTGCCGTTTCTACTGACAGGATGAGGCCACGCCCCGATCGGACACTTGTGGATAGCTTGACTGTATATACATCAGGACTGCACTTGCCGGCTCCTAGGGCTTGTGTAGGGTGTTGCTGTTTTCCCCCATACTGTTTTATGAATCGCAGTACCCAATGGCGAATCGCTCGGATGGAAATTTCCTGGGCATTTTGGCTGGCCCCGTGGTTTTAATGAGAATCAAGCGGATGCGTACAACCCCACCAGCGAGAAGAGAATGTACCCATCAGTTTTATAATCTCGTGGAGCTCGTGGTTGGCAATCATAATTCACTTTACCCCTTCGCCCGACCGTTACCCTACTTCGTCCTCTCTCTCTCTCTCTCTCTCCTCGTCTCGTCTCGTCCCCCCCTACGTTTTTACGGAGCTGCTCTTTTTCTCCCTGTTTTTCCTTCTTTTCGATTTTCAACCACCCCCTCCCCCCCACTCCCCTCTCCAACTCCATCAAAGCCGAAACTAGGTTCTGCCACCCCGTGGCATTCGGAAGTTTGAATGTATAACGCCCAGAATGCGAAAACTGCCCGTTGTGTAAGTACCGTGGGGGTGGGGCGAGTAGTCACTTCGACCCCCAGCTGCTCGGTCGTCCTGATTTCCATGGGGGATGGGGGGGTGGGGCATGAGTTTTTTATTTTGATGAGAACTTGTCATCACGATTTTATTAGTTTTGGTCGTTACTCATCGGTATTGAAACGTTTTGTTTGGAACACTTGAGTTTGGTCGATGAACGGGATCAATATATTTTGCATCGCGTCAATGGAACATTGTCACTCTCTACAATTGACAAAAAACAAAAAACTTGATCAAAAGCAACGTATCGAGAGTAATGGCACTTTTTTTCAAAAATGTCCATCGAAACATCAAAACACTCGTGAGTGTGGGGCGAGGGGTTGGAGGAAAAAAAAAAAAAAAATACCGTCCAGAGTAAAATAAGAACGAGAGCATACGTATGTAAGTGGCCATCCGGACCAAAAATATCACCAGATTAAATTTATCACCAGCGCGCCGGCCGAGAAAAAGGACGTTCAAGAGGGTTCACCAACAAGAGAGAGCTCCCCCGAGAAATTCCAATCGTCGATGCATCCACTTCTTCTTCTTCCTCTGCTTCGAACTACATCAGTCAACGCACTTTACGAGTCCATTGCGCCCTTATCATATCCACGAAAATGGCACAAATTTGTTTTTTTGTTTTTTTTTTTCTTTTTTTAAAATGTTTTATTGTCCTTTGCGAGTCACCAAATTTCTTTAATTGCATATAAACACACAATTGATTTTGTTTTTTTATCTTTGTCCCCGATTATCCTCGTTCTCCTTGTTATTCGTTCACTCTCACTTTTGGTACTTAAGCTTGCACTTCTCCCAAATACTTTGACAATCAACTTCCGGTAACGATATACACGTATCGTGTATATATATCAACAGGTACAAGTATACTTTTATATATTGCTTTTTTTGCTCCTTCTCCCTTGTAAACACCCAAGTTGCGCAGCAGTTTCCATACATACATATACATCGAAGAGACCTTGTTTACCGAGAAATAATATGAGCCATCCGTGTGCTCGTCTCGCGATGTTTGAACAAAAATTTCAAGGGCACCAGCTCCCACTCGACGTATCGTTGTGTTTTCTCCCTTCGATTCGCTCATCCATCCTACGGGGGAGGGAGGTTTTTCCGGCATCCGTTCGGAGCCAAGGCCACATGGCTCAATAAATGCCAATTAAACGCCAACGACGCACACCTACATCCATTTGCCCCGAAACAACTCCGTATTGTTATTCCTTCTCGAAACAATCGATACAACAGTATACCCCCCCGTTGACGGCGAGACGAATTCCCTACCCTTTCGTCGCCCTGTGTTTACTCCACCCCTCCTCTCTCATCGTGTAAACAACGCCGAACAAGCACGACAAGGGGACTCGTCCTCCCGTTTCACCACCCCAATTCTCTGGCTGGTAATGCCTCCTCGGGTACACGTGTACCGGTGATCCCTTACATCGCCCTCCGACCCCTGTTTGCAAACGCAACGAATGGGTCATGGTAAAAATACAACGCCCCCCCCCCTCACGTTTTGGAAATTCAACTCTAAATGCACGCATGAGTTGTTGGTTCGCAGCCGAAGCGGCGTTTTCGACATTCCGAGGGGCTCGCGCGCGGATTTCAGTGTATTTATGCATCACGCAGGCGAGCGGGGGGACGGTCCGGGGCACGCTTGTGCGCGAATGTAACGCGCGTAGGTGTGAGGGACGAAAAAGAAAAAAGAAAAAAAAAAAAAAAAAAACATGGAATTACGTGGCGTTTATTTATAACCACCGCAAAACGGCATCGTCGATCATCCCCCGTTTTCCAAAATCCCAGCTACGGCGTACCCCCCGAAACACGAATGCCGATCCGCGATTCCAGCGAATATGGTACCAACTTCGGTCACGTCAAAGGGGAAAAAAGGAAGCGAAAAAGAAGATCATACATGGTGTTACACACGGTATACAAGAAGAATGTACCTAATGGAAGGAGGAGGCGCATCTCCTATGTGTGTACATACACGTATAAGTACCGGGAGTGAGAGCAAAGCAAAGAGTAGGAGTGTATAGGCGGTGGAGGATGTAGGTAAGCCGGTGTACACGTAAAAGTACCATCTCGCGCCCTCGCGTCTCTTCTATACATATTTTCAAGTAGGAGAGTAGACGTGTGTACATATAGGTATACGTGTAATGGACACGCGTACATGGAGGGAGAGAAGAATGAGAAATAGAGACCGCGACTTCGACGGGGGGGAGGCGGGCCATAGAGGCATAGATATACGCGTTTGAGTGTAGCTACACATCAGGCGGGGGGGTAGGTGGTATAACAGTGTGGGTAAGATATTATGTATACGTATCCCCCAGGTAAGTGCAATTATCCGGGTATATAAAGCCAAGTGCGCCCGGCGCATCCTCGGTGTGGGTACTGTACACGTAGCACATATCACACGTGTGTCTCGAAGCTGCTCCTTCTGACATCGACGTCCGTATATATATAGTGCTGTTCTTCGTTGTTCATATTGTTACGTACATTTCGTTGTTCGCAAAATAACATGAAGACGGTGGGTGTGATGAGTCATCAAGTACTGTAAACATACAAATATAATATCAACTGTTTTTACTACTACCCCCTTTCCGTTTTTTCTTTTTCACTCTATCTTGGATTTTTTTTTTCTGTAATTATATTTACACTACACCACTCGACAACGCGGACGTACAGTGAAAGTGGACCAAAGACGTGTGACTGCAAAATTTTTCGGATCCAATAGTATAAAGAGCGCGTGTGTGCCTCCAATTGTCCTCCTCGTTTATACCTACATCTCGAGTGTACCTGAGTATAAGTAATTGTTAAGGAAAATCCTGAAGGGGTATTTAATCATTTTTTTGCTGCGACATTGGTGGCGATACGAGGAGAAAAAAAAAATCTGTTATCAAACTGCGTTAATCTTAATTCAGGAATAAAATTTACCCTTAAAAAAAAAAAAAAAACGAGTGAAAATAACATTCACTGGAGTTACACCTCCAGCTTTACTGTGCGTAGTTGTCTTTTCCGTGTTTACGGATAATAATACATCGCGTGGTCCAACACTTTGATGGAAAAAGATACTAGTAAGTAGGTATCTCGATTTTTGATGAGAATTCATACCNAAATGTTTTATATATTTAAGAGTCGTGTTCAACTTAACCCAAAGCAATAGCAGTATCTCTTAACATACTGTAATGTATATCAGCTGTTTTTAAACTATCGAAGTATTGAGCTCCACTGGCCCGATTTAAGATTGATAAAAAAAATAAAAATAAAAAAAAAATAAAAAAAAAAATAAAAAAAAAAAGCTAGAGCGAGAGAGAAGAGCTTGCAAAGCTATACGATCGGGGGGATCCTATAGAACCTTGAAATCGAAGAGGGGGGCATCCGATAAGTTGAACCACTCGCGCTCGGCTGAGCAAACATACGCCTCCACCACTGCACGAACAACCCATATATACATACGCGTGTGCACGTTTACATTCTTCGAATCCCGAACTTTGGACCGGTAGAATAATACTGAGTCACGGTAGCCGTTTCGAGCACATTTATCCGCGCGATCGGTTCGTGCTGTCAATGAAAAACAGAGATGATATTAGGTATACACTACACGCTTTCGTTCATTATACTACACGTGCACACACGCGTATTGGCATATATATATATATATATATATATATATAGCATTTAGCATATAGAGAGCTTGTATTTCCCCTTAAGTGCATTAAGCACGCGCACGCGGTGAGACGTGTAAGCGTCACGATTCGCGTGGGTTATTCCCACAGGTCGATGCTTCCGCGGGATAATATTTACCTACTTTAGCTCAGGGGGGGTGGGGGAGGGTCGATGAACACGCTCTCCTCGCTCGATCGGGGGTTTTTTCATCGTCTTTTCCATA